TTTGATTAGATGATGTGGTGCCAAAAGATTGATCTAACATTTTAGTATACCTCAAGTTGAGAGAATTAGGTCGAGTTAATTAGCTAAAAGGAGAGGCCAATAGTTATGAAGGGAAGGGGTCGATAAGGAGGATCACCAATCTATCTTTGATCGCTAATCATCAACAATGTGTTGTTGTCATATACTGTCAATAATGGGAGATATTATTATGAGCGGACGTCGAACGCAGTTCATCGTCTGGAGACGAATCAGAATGTGCCACATCCACAGCACCGAGCAGTATCGAGCTGGGTACCGAGCAGGAACTGATGTGACACATTTTGATTGGTCTCCAGATGACGTTCGACATCCGCACAGAATAATTTCACCAATAATGTACCAAAGAGTTCTTCACACCCTCTAATCACCCCACTTTTTTTAAAAAAAACCCAAACTTCATCAAAGCTCTCGTCAAAGCCACAACCTTCATGGCTCTCATTGCTACTAATACCTTATTTATCATAGTGTGCCAATGCTACAAATTCATCAATTTGCTCAAAGTTTATATTCATTTATTTGCCTTTTTTCATCCTAGCCTTCATAGATGGCTCAATCCTCCTCTCCTTACTACATAATTTCTCTCCCTTGATGCCTCATTACTAATTCTTCTCTCACTCATTTTCTTCGGTCATGTTGCACTTCAATCTTACATGGTCGACTTCAACCATCATCTTAGTTGCTTGCTTAACCAAGCTCCTAGAATGAACCATCGAACCCTTCTCACTCTCACCACCTACAATCAAGTTGATATTATGCTTGTTGCGACCATACCAGCACCAATGCACCTGATCCCATCAGAACTCTCCAATTAAGCGTGTTTGGGCGAGAGTAGTACTAAAATAGGTGACCTACTAAGAAGTCCTCGTGTTGCACCCTTCTAAAAAAAAAGTTGATACCATGCTTACCATATATATATTATAAAATATGCTAAATATTTACAATTTAAAAAAATAGTTATTTTATTATTGTAATAAAAAAGTCTTATTATTTAAATTATTATGATTTTACAATACATAGAAATATATTTAAAAATGACTGAGGAGGACTAAGGATATGATAAAAAAAAATGTTTCATAATCATATTTTAAACATCTTAATTCGGCTGATTTACTTCTTCAGTAAGACGAAGACACAAATAGAAATTATAAAGCATTTGTTATTTAAATAAAATAGCGAATCAAACAGCATAAAATCGATAATAACGAGAATATGAGATATTACATAAAATATAGCAATGAAGTCAGCAACAACTAAAATACGAATAAGGAGAAAATTTTCTTAAATACAGGAAAACAATGTTGACATTATTGTTAAATGTAAGGCTGACAATTTCAGGTAAACAAAAGACTCCTTTAAAAAAAAACAAAAACAAAAAGAAAGAAAAACCAGCAATCCATTTAAACATACAGCTAGCTACCGTTAAGCACTAATGGAGGCGTTGCCAAAGGAGAAATTATTACGTGCGGAATCCGAATATAGCTCTGCATCTGGACTCCACATGGATATTGGATATATATATATATATAAACATGCTACTAAAATTGATAAATTTTTTTCACCTAACATATTTTGTGCAGGTTTCATCAGTCAAAGCAGCCAATACATAAAATATGGGATATCATATGGAGAAGGTATAATATTCATTTTATTTCTTAAAAAAAAAGTCCCAAAAGAAGTGTGCAACATGTGGTTCAAAGAGTTTGAGATTAGTTATTATAAAAATATATTATATATTATATCCTTTTTAATTAAACTAACAAAAACATTCTATGTTGTGTGTTTTTAATGCATAAAGATTTTTATTGATTGCCTGAACACAATAATAAAATTAGAAAAATTTCGAGATGTGCCGGTCGACTCGCATTTGAGATATGCGGGTCGACTCGCATTTGAGACATGTTTACAGACATAAAAAAGTTAGGCGAGCGATCACTCTGGATTGGTGAGAGTATATGTGGTGAGCTAATCAGTGTTTGGGGTATCCCATATTATACCAAAAGGAGGGACCAGAATAAATAGAATCGAGCTTCTAACATTGGGGGCATGGGTAGTTCCCTCCATACTGGGGGCTCAATTCCACATACTGAGCATATACTGAGCAGAGGCAACGTTTGGTAAGAAATTTTAAAAGATTTTAATTATTTACTTAGATATGACTACTAATGTAAGTATATTGCAAAAAGATGTGCTAGGTAGAGAACCGACTGTTGTTGAGTTGCATAATTATACCCACAAGCGACAGGAGGACCAGCAATGGATTGATGAGCGAGCAAGGAGAGTTTATGTGAGTACATAAGTTTAATATTTTATGTGTCATGTGTAAATTGCTTAATCTTGTATTTAACTTTTGTAGGACTAGTATACACGGCTTCGAGAGAGCCAGCCAGGAGCAAGTGAGGTATCTTATGGGGGATCAGAAGATTATTCTGAATACCGCACATGTTCGCAAGCAATAGGAGGAATGCAAAAAGTGTGCGTTTATGGTTTAGGATCACAAGCCTACGCATACGAGGGGCAGACATCTGGTGACTCCAGCTTCTCAACAAGTAGCCATGAGTTGTTGTATAGCCAACATGTAGCTGCCCTTACAGCTGAGCTAGAGCAAGTCAGTAAATTACAAGCTAACATGAAGATGCAGCAAACTCAATTGTTGGATGAGTTGAAGAGATTGAGGGAGCAGTTCAGTGAAAAGCATGCAACATTAGCATAGGAGGAGACTGATTCTGATTGAATGTTTTTTGTAATTATTGGACATTTCATTTATATGTTGGACATTTCATTTGTATGTTTGTTTATTTTACTATTCATTTTTAATTGTGTAATGAACGAAATTTATGTTTAATTACAACATTGCTATTTTTTGTTTTTGCTACAGATTTTTGGCGGAATATCTGCCAAAAATGGAGATCCGATGAAATGTATCATATTTCCAGCGTATAAATAGTCAAAAATTTTCGCTGGAAGTTCCAGTGGATAAACCATTGAAAATTTTCGCTAATCCGTGTCTGACGAACTTTTCAGATGGGTTATCCGTCGTTTCAGATGGGTTATCTGTCGTTTCAGATGGGTTATCCATCAGTAATGGTGACTCATAAATGAAGAATATGGCCGCTATATTCCACCGGAATTTCGACGATAAATCTGTCAGAAATATTTCTAACAAAAATATTCTACCAAAATAAGATTCCCGACGCGTGTTTTACTGTCAACTACATTTCCGCCAGAAATGCACATTTTTTGACAAAATATTATGATTTACGATGGGCTTTGGCTACTGGTATCATGCAATTTTTCTATAGTGATATATGTACAAGGGGAAGACAATATTCTAGTAAAATTCCCTTCATAAAAATTCCATCTATAAAATAGAAAAAAAAAAACTATGCATTTACAGGAAACCTTAAAAATTTGAGATAAGTTTGAAATTTATCGATAAGTTGAAACCTATAGCACCTTCAACCAAATTAATTTTCTCTTCATACCATAAACTCTCCATGGTTCACTACAGTCATGTTATCTTCAAGTCTTCTTGGACGTTTGCATACCTTCTTTCAGCCTCCGCGTCCTATAAACATGTCATCTCCTCAAAGAATGCAACGCCCTCCTCCAAACCAGTCTTCATCTTTATCGGTTGTTCCTTGTTTTTTCTCAGTAGGAATCAAAAGTTGTATTGAGCTAAAATCCTAAATATTAAGGGGCTTTTGTGGGTTTTTTCCTTGAGGAGTGCCAAGCTTAAACCCTAAATTTGAATGGGATGGTGAAGGCCTTTTTCAAAAAGTCAAAGCTACCACCTGTGGGTCCGGTCAAGTCTTTCGGACAAGCAAGAGAAAAATAAAATAAAAATATATATCAAATATCCACATGCACAATCTACGTGTCATGATTTTATTGGAATCCGGACACAAAATTACGTCTGGACTCCGCAGGTAATAATTTCTCTTGACAAAGAGCAGCTTGGCAGTTTTTGGTGATCATTTATCAAGCAGCAACAACAATACTCTTTTTCATGTAAAGGTCAAAATGATACAAGGATATTACACTTCAGATCAATGCAGAAATCTCAAAAACTTACAAGCAAAGATAAAATTGCAAAAAAGAACTAAATACAAAATGACAGGGCTCGAAAGAAGTCACAAATAGCAACAAAAAGGGGCTGATTCAATGATGGCTTGCCAACCAAAGTCATCATATGATACTATGATAGATTCAGATTCGAATCATATTCTATCACTATGCTGTAGCAGCAGCTTCAAAAATGTAAAACTTTCTCTCAACCCACATAAACTGGACAACAACTTGGCTTCCAATACCAACCTGCTCAGGGGTAAGCAGGATCAAATTTTCTTAGTGGTAATCCTTTTGATTCTTCATTTTTGAATTCTGCTAAAAATACTCATTAAGGTCGTTTGAATAGCTTAAAGGAGAAACTCAATCAGGCGAAATCCAAGACCAGTATCAAATAAGAGAAATCTTAATTTGATCAGAGAAATTGAGACATCTAGAGTACTCTTTCCTCGCATCAAGATATTATAAACCACTTAAATATCATCTATAGCAACAATCACTTAAATCACTCTCGGATTTTTTTTAACAATTCCTACCGGTTTCACTTACCCTAGCAGGACACTTCCATTTGCCTTTTCTCTGATTTGAAAATTAAAAAGTCTTTGATTATGTCAATAGAACCTCTCTTCTACAAAGATTGATTCAGAAAGGCATTCCCTTACAGTTTGTAGATTGATTAAAGCCTGTACCTCTGAGATCCTTTTCTCTATCATTTTTAATAGTGAAATGTTGGGCTGATTCTATTCTATACTAACAATTATAATGTGGCCAGGGCTTGATTGGCCACAGCTCACTGAGGATGGAGGAGTTACTCCATTACTTGAGTAAACCTTCACACTACTTTTTTGAAAGTCCTTCAAAAATTGTGCACTCTCACAAGGGTTAAGAACAGACCAACAAGAGAAACTCAGCTTAGAATTCAAAAGGTTACTCATCACAAATACAAGGAAAATTCACATCATAAAAATATTCCTGATACAAACAATACCACAACATGATAGGTTAATAGAAATTAGTCTAGTAGTGCCTTAATAACAAAATGGCTCTCGTAATAACAAAAACAACTCGCTGCAAATAAGTTCATACCTCGGCTAAAGATAAGTCAACCCATGTTGATTGCCCTCCCATTCCAATCTCATGTTCTGAGGACAACAGATGTAAAGAAGATATTTCAGACTCAAATTTTTTAGGTCTTTTCTTCACCTTCTTACTATGCTGGTCGAGTTTACAATCATTAAGTGTTTCTCTGCCTTTCTCTCTTTCCAATTCCTCAATATTCTTTCCTAAAAATATAAGATCCACAAAGGGAGCTTCATCATCATCAATATCCTTAAACTTGGCACTTAATTTAACTTCAGATCTCTTCCTCTTTGGTTTCTCAACATTTTTATCAATATTTTCTTCCATGGAAGCACTATTTCTCTTGTGAACATCAGTTTCCTTCTCAAGGGGCTCTGTATTTGACTTTGATTTCTTCTTTGCTCCTTTTACAACCGATGCATTGCTAGTGTGCATGCCACTAGGTGTTGAATAATCATTCTTGCTGTAACTCTTGGAGATCTTTGTCTGCTCAGATGCATCGACATCAGCTCTAGAATTTCTTATCTTTTTCTTCCATTCAGGTTCAATGTCAGTAATATTTCCAAAAAAGCTCTCGTCAGCTTGGGTTTCTTCAACATATGTATTCAGCCTCTTCATTCGAAATGCATCATCTTGTTTATACTCTCTTTTATTTCTATTTTTGTGATCTTCAACACCAAAAGCAATTTCAAGAGAATCAGATTTTGTAGGACGCAATGATCCTGTTTCATAAATCTTTAAAGCCGTGTTACTGCTCTCCGAAGGTTTGGCATTGAATATCCGTATGTTGGGGATTAATCTTTTAATCTGCCATGCCATTTGGGACTGATTCAAACATATGGTTCACTTTGTAGCAAAAAATAGAAAAATAATCAGTTATCCAAGGAAATTTATAGAAAGCAACCTTCTTTACTAAATTTTCATTCTCTGCAATTGGATTCCCCAGTATATTGAGGTTTTTAAGGTTGTGCAGAGTAGAAAGGACCTGCAATTCTTATATTTCATGAAATAAAAGAAAGCTCCCGACTCCAATAAACTAAATCATGCATATGCAAGTTATAAATAGCCAAAAAGAAAGTTTAAAAGAAGAACAAAAAATGGTGCAAAAAAGTTAAAAATTAAAAGCATTTACACAATGCTAACCTTTAATTCAGACAACTTCTCAATCAGGTTATTTCCAACATCCAAAGTTCGAAGCTTGATGTTTTTAGCCAACTCTTCTGGGAGAGCCTGGAAAAAGAGAAAATGAAGAAAAAAAAATATGTATGCATGATATCAAGGCATTAAATGTCGGGAAGTAAACCACGAAATGAAGCAAATAAGAAAAGAAAACAATAGAAATGAACACTAGGATTTAACGTCAAAAACATGAAATAAGGAAAAAAAACTACGAAGCCAAACTACACCAAGAAATTCACTATGTTCTCTTCTCTCACACTCTCTGCTTGTCTCCATTCACTTCTCACTTCATTCTCTCCACAGATAAAGAGATGCACTTAAATTGCATAAGGGACAACTTTTGAAGTTAAGTATGAAAAATGAGAAATAAAACTGCCCAGACTGACTCATAGCGCCAAGGTGCAGAGATTTGGAGTGTCGCGCCGCTTCACTGTCTGTCTCCAGCCCGACTTGCAGCAACAGAGTGCCGATTTTGGAAGGCCATAGCGCTCCACTCTATCTCCAAGTCAAAACTGCAGCGCCAACATGTTATATCCTACAATGCTGCAGTGCATAAGTTTACAGCACTGCAATTTTATAATGTATACTGACACGAGGTCATACTGCTGTATTGAAAATAAATAAATAATGGGGGCAAGACGCACTTGCACCCCCCCCCCCCCCCCCCCCCCACCCCCCCTCTCCGGTGAGCTCACCAATGGAATGGAAGAATGAGTCAATGGTATAACCCGATTGATCGACACAATCAGATTCCATGCAAAACTAAAATTAAACTATCCAATTTATGAATTAAAATCACAGAAAAATGATAAATGCTTAAAAGCATTATGTGCACAGCAATATGCACACAAAAAAACACATGTTATGTAGAATGTATGAACCCGCTGAATATGCAATTAAATACAAATTTTTGATAAATTGGGTGTAGAAAAAAAAAATTAATTTGAAGAGGAAATAATTGCATCTTTGAAGGGTAATTGTAACTCTTGCCGATTGCCCAATGCTAGGGAACCTAATTGAGATCGGGTTGGGAAAAGCCAGGCCGGCCACAGCAGACCAAAACATGAAATTTTTTATTTTTTTATCCTTTTAAATTTTCAGTTTTTAAAAGTTTTTGTTTTATATTCAAAATATTACTTTGTTAAATAAAATTTTAGTAAAAAAGAAAATAATTTTTTATATTTAAAATTAAAAATGCATCATATTTCTTAATTGATTGTCATCTGCACTAAATGCATTCATGGAAAGCATCATTCCACTTCTTATACACACTGTCATAAAATGGTAGGAATAAATTTTTCATTCAATCAATTGTCTTGTTGTGATTATTTCATTAGTTTCATAAGCACATAAAAATTGAATCCAATTAAAAAGCCATTATACTCGAATAAAGTTGTTATACTAGTGCCCTATTGTAGTAAATTATAGGCGGTTCTAGCTCAGCTTGAATAAGATATAGTAAGGCTAAAGCTTTATACCACCATAGGTAACAAATAATTACACAATTATTATTATTATTGTTATCGATTATGAGATCCACAACATAACCTAACCTACAATTTCAAAGTTCTCTGTCTGATTGTTGATAGTTAAGGCAACCAATATCCACATTGCCTCCAACGTCTGCTCGCTTGAAAATGGGATCTATCGGCTCAACGTCTATCTATGATTGACCTCGAAATTGCCTCATCACACAATCAGGAAGGTGCAACCAATCATGATTTCAAGATATTAATGGGACACTTGATTTCTATATTTTAGAACTTGAGATGCAAATTAGTGATACAAGAAATATCAAGTCCCCTGAGTAAGGGGTCCGAATAACATATTATGCACTATTTAACAAATCAAAATTGTTGTGCTAGCAAAAATTTAGATAAATAATAATCTGGTAGTTTAGTGGTTGCACTTGACTATCTTTGAGACTGTCAAATTCATTATGGTAGAACTTCGCAATATTTATTGAAATTTTTTTACCATTTGCTCATATCACTTGATATTTTAATGAGATACTTTTAGTAGGAACCAAAGATATTCAATTTTGTAGTTATCAATTTATATTTGTCTGTATCCAAGCAATTTTCTGGGTTGATTGGGTTTGGTACATGAAATGTTGGCCGACAACAACAAACCTACCATAGATGCCAATATCTATCCATATTCACCAGGTCAATTTTGTGGCCTTTTTAAGCTCCACATACATATGCAAAAGTATTTGTTGTGAAACCACTAGAAATTGCATTCAAAATTATAAAGAAAATTGATTAAGCGATGTAATTCAAATTAATGCTTCACAAGATTGAGTGCTTCGAATTTAAGATTATCAAAAAGGTAAGGGCAATCAGTTACAACGTAGGAGAGCATTCATTTGAAAATAATTTCAGTCATAAAGACAAGCCTAAGTATTGTAAACAAGAAATCCCACACTTAACAATTAGAAAAGTCATCTTTGAGTTTCCCTCACTCAATCTCCTAGTTGGGGCTAGCGGAAAGAGAGTCATAGCAAACCCAACGACGACACCAAAGTTGTGAAGACGTCTATGGTTATAATCCAACGAAAGTTCACCGGAGGAGTTGTGACCGGTGCTTTGCCAATGTCCGGTTGCAAGGTGTTCTTTGATGGATGGCACCAACGTAAAAAGGATGCGGTCGATATATCCGTCCACTGTTTCGTCAACCGCCAGATTCGCATCAAAGAAGGGAGATCGAAGAAGATCGGTTCATCCTTGATCATCATACACAAAACCATGATCAACTTTGGGATCGGCCATGCACTAGCAAGAAGTGGTGGAGGGGTTATAGCCTCTTTCTCTCTTAGAGATGCTAATCATGAGAAGAAGCAAGCTCAAGAGATGAGGGGAAGGAGGGAAGTCGGCCCAAGGGGAGGGGATTTCTTGGCTAAGTGAGGAGTAGGGTTTGGGGAGGGAGATGAGAAAGAACAAATCTGAAATTAAATACAGATTTTGGAATTAATTAGTGGGAGGAAATTATGAATTTGAATTTGAATTTCAAATCCAAACTTAGGTGATGTTAATGTGGAATAGGAAAGGGTTCAAAATAGGGGGGGGGGGGGGAAGGTTGTTCGGCGGTTGTGGGAAAGGAAGGGGAAAGGGTGGCCATCGGGTGAGGGAAATTGGGGAGGCCGGCGGTGAAGCAAGAGGGGGAGGAGTCGGACCACGAGCCCCGGACACGACCGGCGACTGGTGGGTATTTCTTTGCCCACACCTTGGGACTTCACCACTCAAGAACTCATACGCTCTAGAGAGAAAATAGAAATTTATTTCATTCCTCCAATAACCCTCATACAAAGGTTAAGACCTTATATATAGGCCTTCCAAACAACTAGAAAGAAAAAGACAGGAATGCCCTCAGGGCAACACCTCACAACACATAATAAAAGAAGGGTAAAAACGGTAAAACTCAAATAAAATAACTAATACATAACATATATCAAAAATAAAGACTCCTAATTGTAGTCGTCGATTTACGATGCTTCCGGCGATAAACATTCTGGAATCTCTTGCTGATGTCCACATCAGTATTGCAGCACTGGAATCTCAAGTTAGTTTACATTGTGAATCCCATAATCGATCTAAATAATAACCGTGTAATTGTCTGTTATTTACAATGGTATAAATCTTGAGCCTCAATATATCTTCTTCTAGCAGATCAGAATATCATTCTCTACCCCTCGTACCAGCCACCCCTTCACACACACTCAATGGTACATCATACCTAAAGCCCCCAAAGTTTGAATAAAAAGTTGTATGTAGACTACAACATACTCCGCTATCTCCCCTTTTCCATAACAGCTAGACACACCTTCTTCAAGTTAAGAAGCGAACCATGAAGATGAAATGAAAACAACATATGTAACCTATGGAATTGAATTTTTAGGAAGAAAAACAAAGCAATGATCGATGAATTTTCCTTTTGTAATCACTAAGAATTTTATCAACAAGGTGACTTAAATGGCAAAACCACTTGACGTTTGTCAAGTGATCCTTGGGAGTATGTACACCGAGTACCATCTCTACATCATCAAGCACAATAAGTATCACAAGATGGATAGCTCCAGCAATGGGAAACAATGAAAGGATGAATCATCCACTGACTGCAAGCAAGTTCAAAGCTTAGGCAAGATCCAAGCTGGAGATTTCCACTTGAAAGGGGACAAACCGGAGATTATAAAGAGTCATACTGTCAGTTCCACAGAGAAGAAGATCTAAAGCCAAAAAAGTTATACAAGATGAATGGACTTGGGTGAGAATTCTAGACTCCACTCCTCAAAATGAAAAAGTAGAAAGTGGATAGCCAACAAGTTAGCTAGACACCGTACATTCTCCAGCTTCTACATTTTCAACACTTGATATGGTAAAAGCTGAAGCAAATAGGATGGACAGCAGATCAGCCAAGAATCTACCAAAGTCTGCTGAAGGATCCCGTAGCCAGGTTCAACCACAATCAAATTCAGGATTGCTCAAGCTCAGTCAAAATAATCAGCTCTGAAGGAAAGGCAAAATAGTAAAGAGTCGGTCACAAGTGTTACAAATAGGTGTGACATATTCATTCAACTTATCAATTTGAATTAGTTGGTCTTTTATTATTGTTTGTCATTTTTAATATAATGTCACCTTAATTACTATATATTATATTAAAAAATTATTATGCCGTGTTCACGCCGCACCCGTGTCCTATATTTTCAAAAAATGTCGTGTCCCGTGTCCGTGTCGTGTCGTGTCCGTGTCGACGTGTCTGTGTCGGTGCATCATAGATGAAGTCACTACAAGAAAAACTGGCTATACCAGCGGAGTGATATCCGCCAGTAGTAGTGGCGGTGTAATCAGTGGATATTCTTTCGGTAACTTACGGGCGAGATTTCCGGTGGATAAACCTCAAGTATACTTAAACACGATGAAATATTTCCGGCAGAAATGCTGCCGGAAACATTTCCAGCGAAAAATCCACCGGCAGTACCACCGGAAAAGGCCCTATTTTCCTCCCGGCGCTATTCGCGATCGTCTTCCTATTCATTTCATTCCTGCTTCGCTCCTGATCTCGTGAGTCACCTCCCGCCGAACGCCGCCTTCGTTGCCTTTATGTACACCGCAACGTCGCCATCATTCGCCGCCTCGGTCGCTGGGATAGCTGTAAGTTGTTCTGTCGTTAGACCATTTCTTTTTGCTTTGATCATGGATGTTCTCGGTAGACATTTGCAAGAGATTGTACCATGGTGTATGCATTTTTTGGTGATATTCTTCTTGTTGATAAGACTAGAGAGGGAGCTAATAGTGAAATAGATGTGGATACTATTAGGAGAATTCATATTGGATGGTTAAAGTGGAGGAATGCGTTGGGCTTATTGTATGATAGAAAATTCACTCAAATTTAGGGGAAATTCTATAAGATGCGTTGCTCTACTTCAGTTATTTTATTGTTGCTCTACTTTATATTAAATGTTTGTTCATCGGGGATTGATCAAGAATATTTTTTGCAGGTGCAACAAGGTGACTAGTGGCTCAGCCAGTAAGTCTATATATACTAAGGGGACCTCTTCATATTAGTTTGCAACTCGGAGTCAACCTAGCCCGCATTTACCTACTCCTCCAGCCAGCAGTTCGCAGTTTTACTCACCAGATTCACGCTTTCCTTCGCTAGACGCCACGTACAGTACTCCCTTCTAATCTTACTACCCCCCACCCAATACCTTCTCATGGAGGCCCTCCCATTTAACCATATCTACCACGTCCCGCCATTCTATACCCCACCACCCCCTTAGCCCTCTGCAGGTGGACCTTCCACCCCAGTTGCAGTAGAACAGACATCAGAGGAGCGCATGTTGGTTGTATCTGAGAGTGACATGTATGTACTTACTATATTCTTAACATGCTAGTAAATTTGAAAAATGTTTTTTCACCTAACACATTTTGTGCAGGTTTTATCCGTCGAAGCATTAGACGCAAAAAATACGGGACATCATATGGAGCAGGTATGATGCTCCCGATATTTCTTGAAAGAAAATACTAAAAGGAGTGCGCAATATGTGGTTTAGAGAGTGAGGTTAGTTATTATAAAAAAAATTCTATACTTTTTAAATTAAACTAACAAAAATATTATATGTTGTATGTTTTTTTATGCAGAAAGATTTTTATTAGTTGCCCGAGCACAATGATAAATTTAGACAAAATTTTGAGAAGCACGTGTTGACTCGCATGCTAGACATGTTTACAGACATTAGGAAGTCACTAACCCCTCTAGATTGGTGAGAGTGTATGGGGCGAGCTGACCAGTGCTTGGGGCAACCCAAATTATACCAGGAGGAGAGACCATAATAGACATAACTGAGCTTTTGATGTTGGGGGCATGGGTAACTTCCTACATACTGGGGGCTCAATTTCACATACCGAGCACATGCAATGTTTAGTAAGAAATTTAAAAAAAAAATAATAATTTACTTAGTTATGAATACTAATGTAAATATATTGCAGAAAGAGTAGCTGGGTAGAGAATTGACCATTGCTAAGTTGCGTAGTCATACCTTCAAGCGATAGGAGGACTAGCAATGGGTTGATGAGCAAGCAAGGAGAGCCCACATGAGTACCTAAGTTTAATATTTTAGGTATCATGTGTAAATTGATTAATCTTGTATTAACTTTTGTAGGAAGAGTATACACGGCTTCGAGAGAGCCAAGTTGGAGCAGTTGAGGGATCTTCAAGGCGATCAGCAGAGTATTATCATTGATGCACTTGGTCGCAAGTGGTATGTGGAATGCAGAAAGGTCGGGTTTATGGTTTAGGCTCGCAAGCCTATGCATACGAGGAGCAGACATATGGTGGCTCCAGCTTCTCAGTAAGAAGCCAAGAGTCGTTGTATAGCCAATAGGTAGCTACCCTTACGGCAGAGCTAGATCAAGTTAGAAAATCACAAGCTGACATGCAGATGCAAATGCAGATGCAGCAAAGTAAGTTGTTGGATGAGTTGTAGAAATTGAGGGAGCAGTTCTATAGAAAGCAGGTAGCATCAGCAGAGGAGATGGATTCTGATTTTTTTTTTTTGTAATTACTGGATATTTCATTTATATATTTTATTGTCCGTTTTTTATTGTGCAACAAACGAACTTTATGTTTATTTTTAAACTGTTTTGTGAATGTTCAATAAAATATTGTGATCAAATTTGTTATTACATGCATGTACCATGTGTTTATGTTCAATGTTTGAATGTGAATATTCTATGTTGTATATTTTTTATGCAAGTTTGTTGTATTATAAAAAACATGTGTTGTATTTTTTTTGTTTCTGGTACAGGTTTCCGGCGGAATATTCGTCCGTCGAAAACCGAGATAAGATGAAATTGTGTCGAACTTCCGGCGAAAAAATTCCACATGAAGTTCTGGCGGATAACCCGCCGGAAAATTCTGGTGGTTACTGTCGTCGGTATTTCCGACGGTAGGTTTCTGCCGGAATTTCTGGCAGACAAACCACTGCGAAGAGTGCTTCGCAAACGACGAATATTTGTGTATAATTCCGCTGAAATTTCATCGGTAAATCTGTCGGAAATAACTCTAACGGAAAAATTCTATAGGAACAAATTTTCCTACGCTCATTTTACCGTCGAATAAATTTTCACCGGAAATCCTCTAGAGGAATTGCTAGTTTTCTGGCGAATCTTGGCTGCCGGTAATATGATTTTTTCTTGTAGTGAGTGCTCCAATAGGGTTATTGAGTATTTTTAATCCAGCTTATTAATTTGTCAAGGTTGAATTAGTTAGCTATATGTATCGTTCAAACTAGGTGTGAATCAAGGTTTTCTATATTATGTCATTGTTATCTATTAAGTTGGTTATAGTTATTTCTTATTATTCCAGCAAATAACAACAATCTTTCAAACCACTGCATCTATAAATAGGGCGGCAACCTAAGAATTAAGAGATCATCTAGACATTCCCTAAAAACTCAAAGGGTTTAGATGTGAACTGCTTTCTGCACTGATAGAGAAGCTTCTTAAATACCTTATCATAGTTAACTTCTCTCTCCAATGTCAAAAAAAAATTAAGATACTTTACAATAGCGAACCGTTCTCTCCAATATATGAGAATCTTCCTAGCTAGTTTAAAATAGTTAACAAACAATCAAGAAACCAAGATCCAATAAAATGGAAGAGAAATCACCATAGTATAACATGATAGAAGTTGAAAGATGAGAAGTTAATCGTTCAAGAAAGATTATGAGAAATTGTTAATCTTTCAAAATAGATTGCTAGAAGATGCAAACTGTATCATAGTTGAACCAAGCCTGATACAGAGTAAGACAACAAATTTCCTCAAAAAAAAATTGCAATAGAAGTTCTAGAAGAGTCTAAAAATAGATCATATATTAGGAAGGGAGCTAAGTGGTAGAGTTAGGAGACAAAATGTTAATAAAGAAACATACTTTGAAAAAATGATAAAAGTAAATACTATTGAGATTTATGAAGATAATAATTAATAAGAAAGATAGAAGTCTTAAAAAGAAGAAAAAATTGCAAAAGCCATATATTTTCTTAATTTTTATAAAGATAAGGCAATTAGGAGAAAGGATATATATAATATAGCTAAGGCAAGGAGATATATAATATTGCTAACGCAAGAGATACAAAATTTTAGAGAAATAGAACAATTACGATGCATTAGAAGCGAAAATGATAAGATTTATTCAAATTAAGATGTTAAAAAAAAAGATGAAAATAGTTCTATTAGAAATTATTAAATAGGAATATAAGAAAATTTTATTATTATAGAAATATGTAATGAACAAGTTAACAACAACAACATCAAGACTTTATCCCATTATGTAGTGATAAGAGTTAAATTCTCATTTAAATCTAATAAAGAAATTTCATTTTTAATATTTTCTAACCAAATATTTTTAGGTCTACCTCTATCTTTAAAAAGTAGATGTAGACTTGGTAGCATGGCTATAAGTTGTTCACAAGGGGTTTGTGTAGAATAGTTTTAACACATAAAGCGCTACTGAGCAAAAATGGATGGAAAATAAGAATTCATAAAGCCAAAACTAAATTGTTCATATAAGAATACTGATTATGTTGATTGCAATAAAAAATCGATCCAAATATGTTGGTATGGAGCTAATGACAATGCCAATAATGATGCATGTACAAAGTAAAATAAGTGAAGGAATATATTAAATGGAACAAACTTAAAAGAAAACAAACAAAGGTTATGAAATTCTTTTCAAAACCATCGCTTATGGATTTCAAATTTTCAATTCACAAATCTTCCACAAAAGATGACGCTTTCAATCATACTTCTCATAATTTAATTAAGGAAAATATTGTTCAAATAATATTTTCCCCAATAATAAATTATGTCATTCAAAAATAAGGTAATTCACCCAGCCATGAAGTACGTAACAAGTGCCTTATTTATAGGTGAAATATCAAATTTTTGAATCTAGTAATTTATCTGAGTATGCAGAAAATTAGTAGACAAGCATGAAATATGAGGACTAAGGTTGATGCGGACATCGGCACGAAGATTTGGCGCATCTATCACAGGAGGCGTCGTAAATCGACGGCTCTAATTTAATTTGTCATTTAAATTTTAGTTTATGAATTTTAGCTCTTGTTTTCGGTTATTTCTTGTTTTACCCCTAGGTTAGTTAATGTGAGTGTTGTATCCCAAGGGGCAATTTTGTAATGTTTAATTTTCTCATGTTGTGGCCTATATATAGGGCCTCAAGCTATTGTAATAGGATGGTTGATTGATATGAAAAATTTTGTGTTCCACACTTTGTTCTTGGGAGAGAATGAGAGTGAAATTCCTATGGGAAGGAATCAAAGTTGTCACCAGCCGCAAGATGGGTCCGGGCTCGTGAGTTGAAGTCCCTTGGAGAAAGCACCCGTCAGCCTTTGGAAGAGTCTGAGGCTCGCGGTTCTTTATCTTCTATCGTTTATTTTCTCTCTTTTGTTTTTATCTCTTGCTTGTTATTCCTCCTTATTGTTCTAGTTGTCTTCATCCTCCACCCTCGCCACCGGATCTCACCCCATCCGACCCCATTCTTCCTCTCCAAGCCCACGGCCAACTCCCTCACCCGCCGGCCACCTCCCCCATCCAACCCGTGAATCTCCCCTTCCCCCTTACCACCCCCTTTCCTAATTTGGGTTGGCAAAATCGAGAGGGAAAATCCATGACAATTGTGGATTTCAGATTTCAAATTTTGAAATCTTTCCTAATATAAGAGTCTATTTTAGGAAAGTTTCTTAATTAACTTTAGTTGAATTTGAAATTCAAATTGAATTTAATTGAGCAATTACCCAATATTCCTAGCCTATTAAATCTCCCCAAATCCCCTCCCTAATTTCCCTCTCTGGATCCTATTGCTGCCGGCCCCATTAAGGAGTCAATTAGGATTTGTTTCTTAATTCCCCACCCCACTCAAAGTAACAGTTTTAAATCCCTTCCTCAATTATTTGGCTGAAAATTAAATCTCCCGTAACTCCTCAATTAATTCCCTCATCTAAGGAATTAATTAAGGAATTTCCAAATTCCTTTAGTTCTTGGAGAGGAGGCCCTCTCCCGTGCAAATCCTTCCTCTCTCATAATTGCCCCAGACTAAATCTCTTGGGCAGATCCTGTAGCAAAATCTGTCCAGATTTTAGCATTCATATTGGAGGGATAATGGAAGTTGAAACCTGCTGTTGACCGGACTTTCCCCAAGGCTCCACCGTAAACCTTTCCCTCACTTCTCCAGCCGGCCTCCTCTCTCCCATGAGATTTTAATTTGAATTAATTCCCAAATCTTCCATCAAAGCTTTAGGAAATAATTCAAAATCCTAATCTCCTCAAATCCTACTTCAGCCGAACTTTGTCTCTCCCGTAATTCCTTCAATCAATTTACTTAATTGAATTAAGTGCTTTGGGAATCCTAGCCTCACCCTCTCAGCTACCCGCCGCCTCCCCCTTCTCTCCCTCTCTCCTTTTTTTACGTAGCAAGGAACTCATTGGATGTGTAAAATATCTTACATAAGATTCATGTGATTGAAGTATGCAGTTAGAATTTTGTGATCTACATCTCCTCAAAAATGAGATTGACGGGTCCCTTCACCTATCAAGATCTACAAGTTCAACTATAAAGTGAACATGTTACTCATGCACTGGCAGGGAGTGGCCTCTCTCAAAGATTCCTAATGTATACATGACATTGTTTCCTTTTCTCAAAAAACCCATTTTCAATGATTATGATCACATTTGACGTTCATTACGCATTAATTTGTATTTTTTTCCTGGCTTATATTGGCAATCGTTGCATGTTTCTAGAAATCGTGTACTAGACTAACTTTGGGTGATCCCTTTCAAGTGCATGCAAACAACTTACACCCAACGTAGAGAAAAAATAAGAAAGAAATCAACAATGCATGGGTAAAACAATGATTCTTGATAAGAGAATGATGTAACATACAAAGCTGAACAGATGTATATCCACTCCATAGGAAGAGGAAAAACATCTCATTCGTATCTTAATGAATGATGCATCTTGTCATTCCTAGAAAGAAAATATGTTCTACAACCACATCTTGTGTGAACATAAATGTAAGAAATAAGTTAAGCTTTTCAGTTTGAACACAATTTATCCTTGTACAGCACCTCAAAATACACTAATTTCCAAAAAAAAAAAATTAAAAGGGCTCCTCAAGGATGTTTAACAGGAGTTATAATTATTTGACTAAATAATTTAATTACTTTTGAATTATATGTTCTAGGATGGGTGCACATCTCCTTTAGCAACTTCCTAGAAGAATTATTTTACTACAAAAGAGCAGCAAATTAAACATATTTATTTTTCATAAAACTGCAAATGTGCAAGCAAATACAGATAGGTTCATGACACTTCTAAAAATTGCAAGGATAGTGAAACCATTGAATAACTTCATCCAAAGCATTTTTCTGATAAGAATGTGAGGATTTAGATCTCATACCAAGGGTATTCAAATATTTCATCTGATCAAATTTGCAAATGGAAGATATATTATTATCTGCATAGACAAAGATTAGCATCAAGCAGTTGTAAGAAACAAAATGCCCAACCTACTTTTAGTTTGTTAAAAGGCTCAAATCTCCAAAGAGAATACCATTTAAAATTAATGCCCGCAAATTTGAAAGGGTATATATCTCATCCATTTTCTCAAGCTTGTTCCTGCCAGCATTTAAAACCTACCAGAAGGATAATGAAATTACAAATTCTAATAAAGACATGATAGAGCTAGTTATGAGTTCTAAATATGATCTCTTTAAAAAGAACTCCATCCTTATTTCTTCATGATAGTAGCGTGTGACTAACTATCACTCCCCTTTCATTAAATGTATAGAAAATCTCAATGTAAATTCCAGTGCAGGGAAGAATGCATATATTATAGCAGGTATAATATATTAGAAGAGGAGCTGGTGTTCACATTTTAACGATGGGAATTAACATATGAAACTTGTGACATGACATTCAACAGAAAACAACAGAAATAGATAGAAAGACTTATCAAATCAGCTAAATAAGCTAACCTAGGCTCAAATCAATAGAGAAAACTTTGTTCTTTCAGTGTGCCAACAATATACTATAGGATAATAGGATAACATGGAAAGCATGGAAAATTAAATGCAATTTTAATAAAACTGCAATAGACAAGTCATGTCATATGGCTTCCAGCTTTGAACAATTAATAATTCATTGATAAATAAATTAAGCATGGTGGAAATGAAAATTTTGATGCTAATAACTGAAAAACTAGGAAGTATAAAATTAGGATTAATAACATTAGAGAGACGACAACTACTGAAAATAAAATAAAAAAAGATAAAATTAGACATGATTTGGATAGGTAAAATGAATGATAGAAAATGTAAGTACTAGATAATTAAATAAAATAAGTGTTGAACATAATAAGGATGAAAGGTGTTCAAAAACTTTTTGATAAATATGATTAAAACCACTTAAAACAAAATATATAGGAATGAAGGGGAATGAGGATTCATAAAGTCAACCCCAAATGGTTCGGATAAAGTTGGTTTGATAATGATGAATTATGATGGTACCACCAATAATTTAGGATCTATTCTGAATTTTATGGAGCATGGGATTCTATACTTTCCCTCTCCAAAGGAGGAAAAAACCAACCATCAAATTATGAATCAACAAGCTAATTTGTAAGTGTAAGAATGAATGCACTGAATACATAAGCACTCACCGTTAGCTTGGAGAGGCCTTCAATACCTTTCAACGTCACAAGTTTGTTTTCCAAAACTTGCAGCCATTTCAAATTGACACAAGCTGACAAACCCTGAGGTTTTCAACAACAAAAAAAAAAAGTAAATAACAATCACTCAAATAAAAATCACAAATTTGTGGATAATTTAAGACCAAACTGGAGCTTAAACATATCAGAACAATTTCCAATGGATACAAGCACAACAACAAGAATTCATAATTTTAGATCACAGAAAAACTTGGTCTGATGAAAAATATGATATTGAAGAAAAAAGAACCTCAAATAGCAGAAATAATGGGCGTACCTCTAGAGATGTAAGGCAATTGTAGCTCAGATCAAGTCTCTCTAAGTTCTGGAAATTGCTCAAACAGGACACCTTCACAAACAAAGCAAACCAGAATAAGAAGCATCCAACAATAGAATATAATCAAAGAAATAGGGGCCGACCGATTGTAAGGCCGTCCAATGACGGTGAAACATGGAACTTACATCGGAGAGAGCTCGATGAGATAGCTTAAGCGAGCTTACAGAGCCCACTTCGTAGTTCTGGTTCTCCCGCGAAATCTGCTCCATGCTAAGGCGAGTCATGGCCGCCGAGACAGTTGCCGTCGGTATCCCTGAGACAGGATAAATGCAAGCGGACGAAGCGGGAAGATATAACTAACCCTAAACCCGAAGGCGCAAGAGCTTGCCGGACATGCTCTGTTAGAGAGCTTTTTCCTCAATTAAGAGCCTCTCAAAACAAAGATTAATTATTAATATTCTACTAACTATAATTAAATTGCTCATTAATTATGGTAAACCACTTGAAAATACTAATTAATATTAATTACAAAATAATAAACGTTCTTGATAATTTGTTAATTAGTGGTTATTTTAGACTGATTATGTATTGATTAATTAATCATTAAGTAGTAAGTTAATCAATAAAAATAATCTCTAATACATTATTTTGCTTTTATTTAAGTTTTTTTTCTTAATTTTGAGCAATTTTAATTATAAATTAATGAACAAATTTAATAAGTTCTAAATTCATAACCTCCAATAAAATTTATGACATTCACGGTTACAACACTACAAGAAAATGCATCATTATCGTCGAACTTTCTAGAGGATTGTTTTATCCCGGTAACATCGACACATGTACCGGCGGAACTTGCGCAGGTAATTTAACGGGGCATTTTTCGCCGAACTAGCCGACGCAAAAATACCGGTGCAACTTCTGCCATCATTTCGCCGATATTTCTTAGATATTTGACGTATATTCCGCCGGTAACTAGCGGCGGAATTACCGGCACAAATCAAGGCTTTGTTTGAAATAACTTTTAGCTGCTCTTATTTTTGCTCCTTTCAAAAAAAAACTAAAATAAAAATCAATAAGAAAATTATTCTAAATCAAACCTTAGCTTCTAACAATTGCGCTGAGTTAGACTAACTATTATAAAACCTGACTCTCACAACAAAAAAGATACACGTCAATACAATTTTCTCCTTGCATCAAATTATTCAAAAGATCAAACAAAAAAGATGAATGAATCTGCCTAAACAAGAGCAAAGTTGGCCCAACAAAAGTGGCCAACAAAATGGATAAAAGTCTCACTTAAATACATTCAAAGAATGCAACCTTTCAAGTGAAATAAGATGATGGGGAAATAAAAATTGCTCAGTCCAACTCGTAGCACCACGATGTTGGGAGTTTGAGCGTTGTGATGCCATACTCTTTATTTCTAGCCCGACTCATAGCATTGCAACAGTAGGGTTAAAGCGTCATAGTGCTCCACTCTATGTCTTCAGTCTAGGCCTGAAGCGCTGCAGTGCTCTTGCAAGTAATATTGCGATGTTATACAACTTAACAAATAGAACCCCCCCCCCCGGAACCCATAAGGTTTAGAAGATCCTATTCACATGCAATGCTTATAAGAGTTAGGGGGCTATAAGTTTCAGATTGCTATTTCACTGGAACAAGTTAACGGTGCAAGCTGGTCATAATACCTTAAATCACATAACCAATAAAAAGCTAATATGCATAAATGAAGTCAACTTCCATTCATATATAGTAGAAGAAATTAAATCAAGGGGGAGGAGAATCTATTGAATTGGATTTCTCAAAGAGACAAATCCAACGATATTAAAAATGTTTCATTCCAAACCCCAATAAGCCAAAATCAAGTGCCTCAAGCATTATTAAAACCTTCATGACATTAACTGGATAACTAAATGCTTTCTAAATTTAGCATGCATATGTTCGAATGGAGCGAATCTACAAGACAAAACCAGCAAGCCCAAGATCGCTTAGTTTCAACATCATCCGGGCCACTGATTTATAAAAGCGATATTTTGTTCATTTTAATCAAAGTCCTCTAATACTCCATCCGACAACTCAAATTAATCCCCTCAATTATAGATTATTTATGTGATATTTAAGTGCTTTGATAATATTAGAATTAACTGGAATTTAATTAGTTAGTCTTCTATATATTGAACTAATTTTATCAAAACAAATTCATAGACTTTAAAATTCAACTTAGGTCATTTGAGACGGCTTTCTTACTGCTTCTTAAAATAGTTTTTTAGTTAAAAAAAAATAAAATTTTTGTACTAAAAAAAATATTGTAAGAAGAAGTAAGAAAGCTGTCCCAAAAGAACCCTTAATCAAGAAATTCTCTTCCAAATATGCCTGAATTAGGCGGTTTTAAGTCTTAACATAATCAATATATGAAACCACTCCACAATAAGCTAAATGCTCTTTTGATTATTTGAAGATATAGAAGATAATTTATATAAGTGGTGCTCTTATCTTCACTTGTATTATGTGACAAAATTAAATCAACACATTAAAGATGTTTCAAAATTATTTATAGAGTTTAAATAAAAATGAATTTTTAATTATATTTAATCAAATAAAAGAATTTAGCAAAATCATTATTTTTTATATTAAGAAAGCTCATGTGGCTACATGCGACCTCATCTTATATATGGAAAGTTTTAATATTTATCTCATATAATTAATGAGATATAATTAGCATATCTCCTTCTTATGATAATATATTCTTAAGCTATATTAAATCATTCATGCATTTATCTTTTAATGTAAATTCTTTTGATATAGTCATGCCTTTAGTCCCATAGTCCCGCTTATAAATAAGGGATAAGGAGAAAGCCTAAGAATACAAAGCAACCTATTTATCTCGACCAATGTCTCTATTCTCAAGCAATAAAATTACACGATTTCTCTCATATTCTCTCTCTCTCTTTTTTTTTATCACTCTTCCTATTTGCTTCTCTTTTTTTCGTAGGTTAGGGTTTGCGAATAAGCCTAACTTTTTTTTAGTTTTGAAAATTATTCCTAGTTACCACTAATGCTTTTCTAAAAATGTTTCAACCCTAATTTTTTGAACTAATATGAGTTTTTTATGATAAAAGTTTAAATATTGTTCTCATATAATTAAGTAAAAAAATAAAATAAATCAAAAATATAATTCGATAGATGACGAGATAAATTAAAATATAATTTAATAATTTATTTTATTTAAATTATTTAATGAGTAATTAATTAAATTATTATCATATGAATTATTGAAGGATTCTGCTGTTCTTCTAGTAATCCTTTTTAAGAAAGGCTAACGGTAAAATTTTAAATTGGATTGGCTTGAAAAAGTTCCTTCTCCTAATTTAATTTTTCAACCCCCTTTCAATTTTAAATTTTATAGTTAAGCCTTTTTTAAGACGGATTACTAGCAGAATCATTCACTAATTAATAATTTTGATAACAATTAAATTTAATTACTGAGAATGTAATGATTAATTAAAATATGAATTTAAAAATATCATTTAAATAGATAACTAATCATGTAATCTACCTAATTAATTATATATTTGGGATAAGTGCCAATAAAAGAGAAGTTTTTAGGTAATTTATCCCCCTCCATATATTTTTAGTCTTTATTACAAGGGTTTTTAGGGAATTGTCCTCCTAAAAGTTTTAAAATACTATGGTCTTTAAGCAATTGCCTCAACATAATTAAACACATTGTCTAGATATGTTATTGTTAGGGAACAATGAACCAAATACAAAGATAAATGGTAAAGAGAATCAAAAAATATCCTTACAACCAAAATTTGTTCTAGGGGCATTGCCCCCAAAAATCATGCAGGGGCGCTGCCCCTTGACCCCGCGACTTGATCAGTCAGGTCAAACCCCGCCAGGGGGCGCTGCCCCTTAAACCCCTGACATATGTGTGAACTGTGAAGGGTACGACGATCACGGATATGAACAAATAGGGGTCGAGCCAAATTCAAGGAAACTTCAACATACATTTTATAGAAATTGAATGATTAATCATCTTTAGCTACCATTTTCTTTTTGTCTATATTGTTTGGTCTCTATTGACCCATTTTTTTGTAGTGAAATGATCGAGTCAAGTTTGAAGCACCCACCCCTCGAAAATTAAGGTTGGGTCCGCCTCATGAAAATTCTTGTATAATATTAGAAGCATGTTCTCCATTTTGGTGAAATTAGAAGACTTCAAACAAAAGCTTCTATATAAAATATATCACATAATACAATATAACACATTACATCTAAAACCATAAGTTCCAAACTATAGCCCACTTCAAATCTCCAAATCATGTATTAACAAGTTCCAAAAAAGCAAAACCTCGCCTTGAATTCCTTCATAAAAATTCTATTCATGCTCTTCAAAGAACACGAAAAAAATATATAAAATTCAAACAAAAATGCAAGTGATCATAAAAATTAAAAAATATGAAAAGAGGAAAAAGAGCAAAAATGAACGACTTGACTGCTCTTTTCTACTGGGAAAATTATTGCATCCGGTCATCGGACACGGAGATAGGTTCGGATATTAATAAAATATTATTTTAAATTATGCGAATCAAAAGCGCAGGTAAAGTATAGGTAAAGCGCGGGTAAAGCGCAGTTAAAGCACAACTAAAACGCAAGTCAAAATCGCAATCAAAAGGAGTTGGGCATATCTGCAAAGGAGAAGGATATGAGAGAGAGTCAAGCGAAATGAAGGCAAGGTCTGAATCACGATAATATTGGGAAATTAGACTTTGGTGTGTGTGCATTTATGAGATGGTCTGTCATGGCAGTTTTTATAACTACTTAGCCAGTGCTGAGAGTTAGAGTACTGTGGTGTTATACTCTCTTTTTCAAGTCTGACTCATAACATTGCAGCATTGGATGTTAGAGTGTTCTAATGCTCCACTCTCTGTCTTCTGTCTGTGCTTGAAGCCATGCGTTTTCTATTCAACTTAACGAATAGAAAAAAAAAAATTATGCTTCACCCTCGAACCCATAAGCAAGGGGTGAACTACCTATGAAGCCTTAGGATCTAAAGGAAAAATTGGTTTACTTAATATTTCAACTGACAAACTTATACATTCAAAAAATCTAAGAGCTTTATGTCACGGCACTGCCAACTCGACATCACGACGCGAACAAAAGAATTTGAAAATCTTTTGGTTTTCAACTTCTAGTTCCAAACAATGGTTCATTATAGCCCTAATACACATTTTAAAATTTCGAATTATGCATTAAATAAATTTCAGACTAACTCTTAGCTTAATTAATCTTATTTACCTAAATTTTGGAATTGCGAGTATCATATTCTGTC